ATTTTGCCCAGTTCTTCTGAAGGCACTCAGACTAGGCCATCTGAAGGTCCTTTCTAACTTTTATGTCTAATATTCTATACTATATAGAGATCTTCTCCCAGGAACTAGTGTGCAAAACAGCATCTAAAAAACCTCCCATTTGCCAACAATTGCTTGGGTTCTGCAGCTATATCTCAACAAGAGCAATATCACTGTTTTTGCTGTCCAGTGTAAAATCAGGTCCAATTAGTACTTTTTCTAACAGCAAGTTACTGCTTTGTCTAACTTGCTTACCAGGTGATAACAATACAGAAGATAGATAGATAGAACAGGGGAGCTCTTTTCTTTCTGCATCTTTTGCTCTTGCAATTCTGATTTCAGCTATTCAAACCTGAACATTCTTCATCAAGAATCTAGTCTCTGTCTTAGCAGGACTCTGCACTTGACTTCAGAGAATTTCTGCATTGAGGACAATCATTTCCTCCACAATAACCTTGCAAAGGGTGGTAAGCTGCCATTTGCCAGTTCAGTGGCTTCATGTTGTTCTGAGAAAAAAAAAAAAAAAAAAAAAAGCTTAAGTTACCTTTGGTGGAATTACTGTCTTATTTATATGTCCTTAATGCTTTATTGGAAATTTGATTAGGTACGTGTAGATAAAACATACAGATAGAGCAATAGTTTTTCAGAGCAGAAAGAGAATAAGAACGTAGTACCTTTATTCTTTCATGCATCTGCTTCTTTTACCTTCCCAGAGATTATTATGGAAATTTTTTAAACTTTGTGTTCTATTACCACAAGTATTATAATAAGACCATCACCAGATGTTAATACAATGCTTAAGAGAGTCTTGCATTTTCCTAAAGTCTACAGTCTTTATGCTTAAGTCTAAAAAAATTTATTTTCGTGGACCTACTAATATTGACCACATGGCATCATTCATATTCTTCCCAGACCATGAGCTGAGGAATTCAGAAGCCTTTATGTTTTTCTTCAGCACATCCTATTGTTTCTTCCTCAGGACTTTCTCAAGGACTGTATATATGCAGAGGGAAACCCTGAGAAAAGGCAAGCTTTCGGCTAAAGGAAGGGTGATCTGGCTTCAAAATTATCTTCTCCAAAGACCCTGAATCCCAGTTAAGCTTTCCTCTATGACATGGTACAATCACCATGCTGCCTAGGCCTCAGGACTCTGCCTCAGTCCCCGAGAATGCCTAAGCTGTAGCTACAAAAATTAGCAATAATTATGCTACAGGTACACATAGCAATACAGCAGTAAGTGTCCTCACCTTGATTTCCTCACTGAATAAGGATAGGGACACTACACCTCTTCCTTTCCTAGTGTCACAGAATCACAGAAAGGTTGAGGTTGGAAGGGACCTCTAGAGATCATCTAGTCCAACCCCCCTGCTCCAGCAGGGTCACCCAGAGCACGTGGCACATTCTCCCCTCAGGTACTTATGTGTATTGATCAGATACATCCTCCAGGCTAAACAGGCCCAGCTTGCTTAGTCTTTCCTCATATGATAGATGCTCCAATCTCTTAATCATTTTCATGATTAAGTAGTCTCTCCAGAAGTCTTCTCTACAGAGGTTGTAAACTAAGTCCTAATTGATACCACGTTGATCTCTAGGTAATATCAGTGTCATACTTCACAACAGATCAGACTTTATGGGACTAAAAACTGTGACTTCCTCCTCCTATTCTTTTAGAATGCACTTAATTATTGTACTCTATAATACTGCCTTCTTAAACTTAATTTAATTTGCAAGAGTCTGGGTTAGTCTTGCCATCCACAGAACTTGTGTTCAGGTACGCAACATTGATAAATGCATTTGAACTCTTGACTCATATTCAAAGCCTCCATCTTCCTTACATCAAGAAAGCTGGAGAACTGAGAACAATTGTGCTATAGAAATTATGAAATTTATCATCTTTCATTTGGGCTATGGTCAGAGTTTCTTTTAAGGGGCATTTGTGTTTTACCTTTTAATCAAGGTATTCACCTGTCTCCACACAGATAAAAATCTAAATAAAGATTTGGCACGCATCGGATGACAAAAATGTTGCAGAAATCTTAAGAGTATGAGTGTATATGATCCAAAAATACCAGTACATGGCAATACCAGAACACTGAAAAATACTTGTGGCTTACCTTTAGATTATCTGTACCACTGCAAGAGCATGGCCATACCCACCTCTCCATGAAGCATTATAGTTTGGCACAGGCATCTGCTTTGAATGTTTCCTAAAGATATAGTAATCCTCCAAACTGTGTTTCTGCTGCAATATGCCCACCTTGCAGCAGCTACTTTAATGCTCTTTGAAATATCCCATCCTTGCATATACCCTACCAACTCTTCTCTCTTCTGTCCACTGAGATGTGCATTCTTGTGAAAAAGTTCCAGAAATCAAGCGTGGTGACTTGGTGCTCTGCTTATCCCCAACATATGCAGCCCAAAAATATCTAGGATATGTATGTGGATCAAGCAGGCAATACCAGCAAACAATTTCTCGTTTCAAGTGGCTGGTGTTCATACCCGTCCACTGTGAAATACACATCTGGACAAATTAATGCAAAGAAACCCAGCTGTTAATGCAAAGAAATCCAGCTGTTGTTCTACAACATAACTTATAATACACTTTTTCATTCACGTCATTATTCTGGTTGTTTAATCAGTCTCGTTTGCCTGGAGATATGAGCAAGGTCAGATTGCAATAGATTATGTTTTTCTGTTTTGAAAGTAAGAAGTTATGTGTTTTCTTTCTGAATCTGAAGATAAGCCACTGTATAAATCATGCATCGGAAAAATCCCAGACCATCTGTAACTTCCAATGATATTATGATATAGCCAGTTGAACTTCAGAGTTATTTATTTTTAGAACAGAGGAGCTGATTTTTTATGGAGTAGATGGGTAGAATTGCTAAGCAATCATCAGATGTGTAACTTGAAAAAAATGAGGGGAAAAAAGCTGTGTTATTCAGGAAAAAAACTCCTCCACTGCCATTAAAGAGAACAAAAAAAAAATAGGAAAGATATTTTTCCGGACAGACTTAATGAGGAAAACCTCAATTCTTATGGAATCATGATTTCAGATATGTGAAATATCAGCCAGACAATTACGTTCCAGTACATAGCCAAAAGTACTATAGTATAGTGTGATCTTCTGGATCGGAAACTATGAAGTTTCCTGTTTTCCATGTTATTACTATCAAAAAAAAGTTTTTTAAAAAAATATAATATTCAATTCACACATTAATAAGGACTAAATTTTGTCATACAGTAATAAATTTGTGTTCCCAAAACATCATGTTCTTCAAGATTTGATGGCGGACAGCAAGTTAAAATGTGTTAGTTTCTAAATTTAATTCAGAATAATCAAAATAAATCTATTTGTACAAGATTTCATCACCACTATTTGTAAAGCTTTGTGGAATCCATTTTATTTTTTCCAGCGTTAAAAAGTTGTTAAAAGGTAAATAAAATAAAATCCGTATTTTCAATATATGCTTAGTCACCTTATGCTAGTACCTGATAAAAAGAAACACAGAAACAGTTGCTAGTGTTGAGAATTTGGGACTAGTGATCTCTGGCCAGTTTGCCTGTGAAATCTGTGGTATTGTGCTCTCTCACTTCTTCTTTTTTCTTTTTTTTTTTCCTTTTTTCACATCTTTTTCTTTTCCTGAGCAATAGGAAATGGCTTTTTATCGTGATGGAGTTGTTTACATTTCAGAAATTTTCTGTTCCTCATAAAACATTATGAAATGGAAATCTTTAGAAGTGAAGGGGGAAAAGAAAAAAAAATCACACATACTTCAATAACGCTCCCTTTGGAGAGAAAGATTCGTATTACTGCAACAGTTAATAATTCTATAGGTAAAATAGAAATAACTCTGACAATAAAACCTGAATGAGGTGGAAAATTCTGTAGATGAGGCAGAGAAGTGATATGATCCCAGGTCTTCCTTAGAGAGGGCTCTGTGTGTCTTTATGGACAATTGCTGGGGAAGCAAGGTCAGAATCAGGGGGCTTGTTAGGAGAGGGCTGTTTATCTTTGTCAAAACTAGTTCATCAACCTCCAGAAAATTTTGACCTAGTTTAATTAAGATTTTACCAACAAAAATGTTTTCTTGAAGAATTTCTGTCCAGCTTTCGGTTTTGGCTCCTTTCCCCGTGTCCCGTTGCCATACGTGCTAACACCCACTGTGCCTCTTCCTTGGGATGCTGCCGACTAAACATTTCACACCAAATCAGCACACCAAGAGAGCTTTGAAACTGCCCATAGCTCTTTTGGTTGGATTCTCGTTCATTCTGCTGTGTCCAACTTACCCTCCAGCACACCAAGAGAGCTTTGAAACTGCTCTTTTGGTTGGATTCTCACTCGTTCTGCTGTGTCCAGCTTACACTACTTAGCACAAAACCATCATTCAGAAGTCAGGGGAACCTACGTTCAAATACTCAAGGTCACTAAGCTAAACCTGGTAGCAACTCCATAGCAAGATGGGAGGATCTATACAGTCAGCAGGAGAATGGATGATGTGAAAATAGACTAATAGATGGAGTTTCTGTTGTGAAAGTTCTTTGATCAGCAGTTTTTACCAGATAGACTCCACGTATCTCCGAGCAGCCCTGGAGCTACAGGCTGACCTTGTAGAGTCCTTGTAGAGTCTGGCTAGAAGAGCTGGTTTCCTTTCTGCAGTGACCTTTGAGCACAGCAGAGAATTTAACTTTTAAGCCTTATATTTAAAATTAAATCAGTGGATGAAGAGACAACCACAGATGTAAGCTTCATTGAGCAGAAAAAAAAAATCAAAAAATACACAGTGGTTTCAGAAGAATATGCATAAATATGCATGCACAAACTGCATGTACAAATTCTCATGGCCAGCCTTTTGGGTTTGCAGCTTTCCTTCTGCATCTGGACAAACTGACTTTGGTGTCCCTCAGATATTTAACAGGAAAGTGCTGTATTTCTGCTTAATGTTCAGCTTCTCAGCCTGTTGTTTGCATTTCTCCTGTAGGTGAATGGTATTGATCTTCGAGGTGCTACCCACGAGCAGGCTGCAGCTGCACTAAAAGGAGCAGGGCAGACGGTAACAATCATAGCACAATACCAGCCGGAGGGTAAGTAAAATAATAAACTTAAGGACATACGGGAAAAGATAAGTGCTTTAAAACCACCATTTAAAAGGAGGAGGCTGTTGTAGCTAGTGCTTTTCCCAGCTATCATTAGAAGTCGTCTAGAATGAAAATTCAAGTGACAATTTTATCCAAAAGAAGTGGCTATATTTTTATTGCAATTTTTGCCTTTAGAAGTGTTTTATGCAACTGTAAGAACTGTCTTTTAGTGTGCATATAAGACATAAATCAGTACACAATCATTTTATTTTCATTATTGCTTATTCTATGCTCTTTCCTTTTCTCTTTTCCTGGAGATAGATAGTGCAAAAAGTTAACAATGAACAGTAATGCCAGGAAGATGTGAAGTTGTCCCAGAGAGCCATGATTAGAATTAAAGATAATTTCTTCCTGGTAAATGCATGCAGCCTTCATTATTACTACTAATTGACTGTGCTCTAGGAGAATTAGCCCTGGATAACAATTATTTGCAAGGGAAACATGCTAAATAAAACTATCGATAGGAAATTTAGTAAAATATTACAGTGGGATTTATCTCACCCAGCTTTTAATTTCTAATATTAAGATTGCTAGTCAGATTTCAGCTAGTCAGTTGGGCTCTGTTTCAGTGGAGAGAAGTAGGCATGGATTGATCCAGAGTGAAGCGACAGAGCTCTATGTCATTCTCCACAAACTTTGTTTCTTCCTAATATGAACTTTCTGATAGGAACTTGGAGATCATTTTCCTCCACAGCAGTTGTTACTATGAACCTTTGTCTGGGTAAATTCTGAACCTACCGATATGTGTGAAGACTTGCTGGCATCATTTTATCAGTTCTCAATAAACATTGCAATAGTGAGTTTAGAAGCACTACTAGGACCTCTGAAATCGTTGTTGATTCTGGCTGCTTGTACCTGCCCAGAGCACACGCAGGTCTCAGGTGAAGCAGTGCAGTTTTAATAGTAGCTTCTACTGGTCATTTTTTTCAGACACATTGCTGCGATGAATTCATAATGCCAGAGTTTATGCCACATCCTGCCTTCTTTTGGGTCTCTGAATCCTGGTGATAGCACACAAAGAGGAAAAAATGTTTAGTCAAACTTACAGATGTGCTTCAGATATGGTATCATGCACCCATTTATGTGCTTATCTGTGCTTGAGTCACCAAGCAGAATAAAACAGACCACACTAAGAAATGTGTAGATGGGAACAAAGGAAATTGTAGGAGTGTTTATATTTTGTTAAATAAGTGGAACATCTTCATATAAACATACATAAGCAATAATCATAGTTAATTCAAAGATTTATTGAAAAGCAATTTCATTGCAGATAGCCAGCCACAATGGATTCTCAATAAAAGCCTGTCCCCATTAGTTGTGGTAATCTCATTTGCCATCTGGGGATTTTAAACTGCATGGTGTTTGAATACTTGTGGCAATGGCATTACAGAGTTGTTCTCTGCCATTGTTAATGCACCAAATATACATTGCTTGACAGATTTTCCTTTCTTATTTGAATTTGCAGTTGACGTATTTCTTCCCTATATTTTACCGTCTCCATACTCATCAAATTCTATTTTGGCAAATATGCAATTGAAAGTGCTTATTAAATCCATCAAATATATATTGCCTATTTATTCCCTTTTTTCCTGTAATGCTGCTTCATTCACCAGGAGCCCTGTTTATGGAAGACTAGTCCAGGTTGTGCGGCTCAAGGCTGCTCAAACACATCCAGTTTTCTATTTCGCTCAAATTGTCCAAGTTGCAGAATAAAGTGGAGCTGAGTAAAGAATGGGGCATTTTATAGGAAATGATAGAATTTGTTCAGCTAGTGAGAGGAGCTTGAGTCCCATTCCCTCTCATGCCACCTGAGGCACTCAGTAATTGCCCAGCCTCTTGTGTCTTACTGCTGAAGAATTTAATTTTATTCTGAGATGCTGGTTAATGCAAACTGTAGATACAGATGTAAAATGAAGTATTTCATTCCTTAAAAAAGACCCAACAGCAAAGAAACCTGAAACAGGTTTAAAGGAGTTCTGTATATAACCTTGACAGAGAATTATTTAAGAATTTATGGATCACATAGAAAGACAAACATATTCTAGCTGTACCAGCATAAATATTTAACTTATTCTAAAAATTCTGCAAAACTCTTTTCTCCTTTCAATGTGATTTTTTCTTGACTCCTATCCATCCTGTCTTAGCATGAAGCATATTGGAATTACTTTAAAAATTCTTCTTAACCCACTAAAGTGCATAAACAAAGTAGATCTGTAACCTGATTTTTTGATTCGTACACTAAAAGCTCCAGGTTGTTACTACCACAGGATTTTAAGGACATCCAGTAACAGCCACTGCAAGTGTTAACTGATACCTTTTTTTTGTCTTTTCCAGCTTATTAAGCATTTACATCTTGCTGCAAACTAAAATATTCAATAAGCAGTTTAGCTATTGATATTTCGGATATTAAGTGATAATAAAATAAATAAAAGTCAATTTTAGAAGCAAATACTGTAGAAACATCTTTCAAAGTTTATTTCCCTTGCCTTGCCTTAAACAGTCAGAAGTTTATCTCAGCCTCGTATGAACTCCCCTCACATTTATGTTTATAGACCTGGCAGCAAATCTCATGAGAATGGCAACTCCTGCAAAACTAGGGCTTGCCTTCAACTTGAATAGCTTTTCCTTTGGATATTGTGGCACTTTGGTTTCACATCTTCTCTGCAATGAACAAATGAGGAGGCCAGCAAGGACAAAATATAATAGCACCACAGACAATTTCCTTCACCTACCTCTTCTGCTCTTTAATTCCTCTTTTCCACGGGTATATCACCTTTATTTTCCTCATCTCTCTGAGAAGCAGAAGAGGTAAAAAAGATATGGAAGTACAAAGAGCAATACAAGTCCTGTGGAAAAAATAACACACACAGAAATTAGGGGCAAGAGGGAAAAGGATCACGGACATTAAAAAATCAGTCCTTGACACTTAGACTATTTTTCTAATGGGATTTTTTGAGGTATCTCTTACTTTCATTTTTAAAAAAACTGAAAATAAACAGTGAACTGTATCTTTTGTATTGTGTAAATAGAGGTCAGGTAGTGCTGAGCATCATGATCTACAGTGATCACTCTAGTTCACTCTAGTGCGTATGGACACTTGTGTGTGTGCCTAGTTTTAAGTACACAAGCTATCCCATGGGTTTCAAAAAGGCAATTTTGGTGTATTCATGTGTTCTTCACATGTCCTACACACAGTTTAAATGCAATTAGAGAAAATTTAAGGGCCAAAAGCACTTAAAACAAAGCTAGAAGATGAATTGATCACTTATAATTAGCTTTGCTCTCCAGTTTTTAATAGTCTTAGAAACGTTTTTCCTTTCCTCCATGCTTTCCTTAACAGCTCTTTCAGATCTCTTAAAATTTGGTACAAATGTAGAGCTAGAGAGTAGGTACTTCTCTTCTGAAAACTAAAAGTTTAGCCCTGGGGAATAAGCTCAGAAGGGTGGCACAGTGTGTGCTCACTAAACAATTAATTATAAATTAAAATGCAAATGTATACTGCATGGGGAAATTCTAGGCTTTTAAGCAATATCTAGTTTCATTTTAGGCAGCAATGATAAATTACAGCCCAGTGTGGAAGGAATCAAGAAGTATTTAGACAGTGAAACTGAAACGTATTTTGAAAAGAGGAGCTTCATCTGGAATAGAGACAATTTTTCCCAAAAGTGGAGTGAAGACAGAAAACTGGATGCCATAAAGGACATCAAAAAGTTTTGCTTTACATTTTATTCTGAAATGCTCTTAGTTATTCCCAGTGCAGTACTATAAAAGGGGTAGAATTTAGTCCAAAGGTTTTTGCAGATTATTCCGTGTCAGTGGCCTGCAAGCTGTGCTGCACTGCAGTGTCTCTGCAGCTCTTCCTCCACCGTGGTCCCTGGAAAACTGTTAAACTGGTCAAAGGTTTTATGTGCTTTCAATCTTCCAAGTGAGCCAATTAACTCCCTAACAGGTGCATGAGGGGGAAACGTTCATCAATTACAGTTTAATTAAACCAGCTGACAATGCAGAGGTCAAAAATTTGTTACAGTGGGAGAATTTCAGCTTTCTGCCCTTTTGAGTTATCTATTAGCCTAGTGAATGGCCAGGACCCCAAGCCAGGTGGAAGGAGAGTCTCAGACAGAGAGATCCTGTGATAAGCAGGGTCTTTCTTTGCAGAAATCAGCTATGGAAGTTATTGCAGAACTGTAAATATAATTATAAAGCATCTCTTGGCAGGGATGGTAATAAATTCACTTTTCAGTTCTTTTGTTCCTGAGGCTGGGATGCTCAGAGAGGGCATTATCACAGCCCCAGCTTTGATGAGCTGCATCAGCTCTTACAATAGCATAGTCCTTTTCTTCTAGCCTCATCTGAGCTATTGATGCATGAAATCTGCTTTTAAAATATTAGAATGAAAATCCAGGGACCACAGTCAAAAATATCACCCAGCACAAATCCAGAGATATTTTTTAGCTCCTTCCTCCATTTCATTCCTTGTTCCTCACTCATAAAGGTAAAGCACCTGTCTCCTATTTGATCCTGATCCTGATCCAAATGTTTAACCTTACTAGCTACTGAAGAAATAAGCCAAATACAAAATATTTGGGAAGAAAAAATAATTGTATTTATTCATATCTGTCTAGGCATCATCTGCAACTTTGAACTTTTTTGCTCAGCTGTTAAAAATCAAAAATATCGCTTAGATGACTTGGATAACATTGCATCAATTTACCACAGTTGGCTTTCATTATTTAGAAGCCACTGTATCTAATTGCCAAAGAATGCAAGATGCTAAGGTTACATTTCATGCACGTGCATTTAGGAATATAATGTGATCTAAGAGTGTCCATATGGGATTTGACCAAAGGCCCATTTGTTGATGATCGTGTCCAAGTAGCCAGCAGCTTAGGGAGAGGGATAAGGACAGGGAAAGCACACAGTTGTACTTCCACTTCATACTTCCAGCA